CTGTCAGGAATTAAAACTTCAACTACACGCCAACATTTGCTGCTGCTATATCTATACTTCCACCCTGTTACATTTTTATTATAATTTGTACTCAAAACAAGCTAGGCACATCCTCGGCCATCCTCGGACTATAGCACTAGCTTGACAGCTTAAAGAGGGAAAGAGAGAGGGGGAAATACCAGCGCCGGCCCTGCACGAACATACCATCATCTGCCCTCCCTTCTTCTGAAAGTCACTCGACAATGAGACGATAATGGTCGCGCCTGCAAGACGCTGGGTAGGCCTGCCCGCCAGGCAGCTCTGTTGAGATGGTCGACGCCCCCAGCACCTAAGTGCACCTAAGCACCAGCTTCTCGGAGCTACTGCTCCGGGCCTCGGGCGATAAGGGGACGATTGGCGACCTGCCTTTAGTCGGTTGATGTCGACATTAGCTGACAAACGGACTTTAACCGTAACAGACATGTTAGATGTTTTGTTTTCGTGTTTTTTGATGTATTTTTTTTTTTAGGAATAAGAGAAGACACATTTAATTTGACGTCTCACATCAGCTCTACAGCATTTATTTCTTGGAGATGCTCACATATGCAAATTGCACATATACATTCACTCAGCATCATTTTCACATTACAATTATTAGTTATGAATTATGAAAAGGCATGTAAATCAATGACAATGACAGTAAGTATGACAATACATTGTAACACAAAAACAACTTAAACTACATCACCGGCACTCTCCCCCTCCCCCCCTCCCCTCCCCTTCATCAAAACCAGCCTTGAAAAAGAAAACGTATGATCGTTCAAGGCTCAGCAAGTAGATTCAAAGTTAAGTGGCGGCATTTAAAAATAATATGGCAAAGAGGGAAGAAAAAGAATAGGTAACTAATACAAAATAGAAGTACACATTTTAAGTAAGGTTCCATGTCAAACATCAATAATAAAGCCTCATTTTGCAATAGATGAAGATATTTTCCACTGAGATTCTGCTGTATTCTTATTGATGTACACTGAAAAGAAAATACTCTTCAAGATTTTATCACATTGTATCACCTCTTTCCATTTTAGATTTTGCTCTACACAATATCTTCATTTGTCAGGCACTTTAAAATAAGTCTTGCATTCTTGTAATTCTTTTATTCCATACTACAAACGAGTTAAGTAATTTGGCTGACTTTTGAAGTTGACGCTTCCTAAGGTGAAATCAGAAAATGTTATGATTGAAGGCACATCTCTCTAAGGTGCGCTTTTTCCATAAGTTTGTTTGGAAACAATACATGACACTTTAGAAAAGCAATTCATCTCACTGATATGTCCAAGCATATAATTAAAATGCAACTTGTAGTTTCACAGTAAAATCCCAAAGACCTTGGTAAACATTTCTGAGACTTGACTAGGTATCAGCACAACAAAAGGAGTAAGACAAGAGAACACATCACAGAAATAATTTGTATAGCATAACATTATCACAATAAGTTACATTCTGCATGTTTTCAACCATCTCACATCCTTAAAAAATATATCTGCAGTCTGATTTCTGTACAATACACTAAAAATAGAACTGTGTTCTGTTAAAAATATATTTTTTATTTAACTAGTCACTAACTATAATTCTTTGATAGGCATATTGCTTCCTGAAGACATAAATAATAAATTTAGATCTTGATGACATTCTTTTTCCTTTTAAATACAATGTGAACACAAAGAGAGATGAATGAAGAGAGAAATGGTGCTATCTGTACAAGGATATTCACAAAACATAATAATTACTAACCTAGAGATACTCTTCCTTTCATTGGATAACTGACATTGTCATGCTTTTAATGACTTTCATGAAACTAGACCAGCGTCTTTTGCCATGGAATAGAAAACTGTTTCCTTATTCTTGAGAAGACGTTCAGGTGAGTCCAATTCAAGAAGTCGTCCTTGATCCAATACAAGGACCCTGTGAACACACAGAAAAAGAAGGATAATCAAGATAATCCACTCAAAAATGAGATTATGCAGTTGATTCATTACTTACACATCTGAATCCACAATTGTGTTCAGGCGATGAGCAATTGTAAGGACTGTAGAGTCCTTAAACTTCGTGCGGATTGTGGCCTGTAAAATTATTTGTTAGAAAAAAAATAAATACATTGGGATTGTAAAACTACAAAACTTACAAAAAATGTAAACCCTACCTGAATGAGATCATCGGTGTCAAGGTCCACACCAGCAGTTGCCTCATCCATCACAAGCACACGAGTTCTGCGCAAGAGGGCTCTAGCAAGACAAACTAGTTGCCTTTGACCAACACTGAGTAACAAATAGACAACAATTAAAGTAAACTCAATTCTGTTATCAGAAGTAACAACAAATGCTATGGATCAATTTATTTACCTCAAATTCTCTCCACCCTCAGTCACCTCAAGTTCAAGTCCCTCTCCCTCTTCTTCAACATAGCTTTTTAAATGAGCATCATTCAACGCTGTCCACAATTCAGCATCTGAATGCTTATTAAATGGATCTAAATTCATACGTAATGAACCAGAGAACAAGACGGGGTCCTGCAAATTATACATATTGAAAACAAACCCTTTCTCAAAATTTCACTTACATCATTTAAAACAATTGTAACATGCAAGCAAACCTGAGGAATAATGGTAATTTTGGATCTGAGGTCATGCAGACCAAGAGTAGAAATATCAATGTCATCAATAATAATTTTGCCATCAGCAGCCTCTACAATTCTGAACAATGCTAGAGTAAGAGATGACTTGCCAGCACCTGTGCGTCCAACAATCCCCACCTAACATAGAGAGCATAAACAAATTTTATTGCATGTTTCATAAAGCAAAAAGTGTGTTGGAAAAACAAACTCCACATTAAAAGCAAAGTTTTCATACTTTCTCTCCCCCAGAAACATTAAAGGAAAGTCCCTTCAAAACGAGGTCAAGTCCTTCTCTGTAGCGAACTTTGTAATCCAAGAAAGATACAGCTCCTTTTTCAGGCCAGCTGGCTTGAGGCTTTTTCTCAGGTAACTCCCACTCTGCCTCCTATAACAACGAAAAACATTTAATTGAACAATAACTACAGAGTTTTAATAGAAGATAACAGAAGAAAGATATTTCTTTAAGAATGAAACCTACACGAGGAGTGTTTCCGTATTCCTTTAATCTCTCAACAGCAACAATATTTGACTCAACTTCAGAGGAAAGACGAACCATAAGATTTAAGACAGATGTGACCTAAAAAAAAAAAGAAGGTTTAAATCAAATAAAAATAAAGCACAGAAAAAGTTATTTTTTTCAGTTTTTGCTAGTTTAAAACTATGTGTTGAAGGTGCAAACCTGTAAAGCATAACTGATGGACAGACCAACTAGAGCACCCCCAATAGTATCTTTGCTCATAACTGCAAATAATGCGGCAAAGAATATGATGAGATTTCCTACAGTCTCTAGGCGTACTGACAGCCATCTAAAACCAATATGAAGGCAAATTTTTAAAATTGAATTTTTTGAATATTAAATCAATTTTAATTTATGATACAGCACCTTGCAGCAATTACACTAGGGTAGAAACATGACTGATTTACATCAACTCTTATCTCCGAATCGCGGATGAAACGTTCTTTCACATTATAGGCTCTGATTGTTGCAGCACCAGTTACACTTTCACCAAAGTGAGAGTAAATGGGTGATCTTGTCACAGATTCAAGACGTTTTAGCTGTCTTGAGGTGGCAACATAAAATCTCTAAAACAATAAAAGAGACAGATTTGGTAAAAATGTCTTACTTGGCCTATAAAAATTAATGTAGTTTTCAAAAGACAAATTATTTAAAAAGAATAGTACCTGGATAAAGTAGTACAGAATAGCAATGGGCAAAATAACCGACAAGAAAATGGGCATACTGTAGCTGATGACTAGCAATGTTGAGAGCACCTAAAAATCAATTTTATGATAAATCAGCACATTATACAAAGAACATATTGAAGGCTTAAACTGTGTGGCCCATTTCCCTTACCTCAAACATACACCAGAGTGTATCTGCTATCTGTTGAGGGAGAAGATTATCCATGACATCCACATCCTTAGAAAATCTTGACAGGATACGTCCTTGTGGTGTTACATCATGGAAGGACAATGGAGCACGAACAACGCCATGAAGCATTACATCATGCATTGCTTTGGCCGCAAACCACGCTCCCAGACGAGGAGCCACATCCGAAATGAACAAAGTTAAGGCTATGGTTGGAACAAAAAAATAACAGTAGAACAAATTCATGCTCCTTTCCTTCATAATTAACTATTTTTGACAGCCGTATCTACCTTGACCAAGACCAAAGACGCCATAAACTGCAAGATAAAGGTCCCTTGTTTCCATGGGTAATGTACCATTCTCTTTGTGAGTACGTTCATGATCATCACTCCATTGTTTTAACCAAAAGTTTGTGCCCACTGCACATGCTTGATAAAGAGCATTAAAGAGCATTGTCAAAAAGCATAACCAGAGACCACCAGCACGGCAGTAGTGAGAGTACACTTTGAGGGAAACCTGAAGAAAACAGTATGTAAGAATTAGAAAAACTGCATTTTTTTAAAAGCTCACTTAAATTTTTAACTTAATTAATTTTAATTTAACATGCTTACACTGCCAGTCTCAGCAACCTCGGCTTCTGTCAGACGCTCACCCTGCTTAGGAGCAGTGCGGACATCTATTTCATCCATTTCTTGGAGACTACTTGATAAAGTTGTGGTAACCTTAGACCATGATCTGGGCAAGAAAACAAATCAAGTCAATATTTTCAACCAAGGAAAAAAAAAGTAACTTCAAAATTTCAATTAATTATACATTCAAAAACCAGGTAAACGAAAACAGTGCAATAAAATTAAAAATTAATTTCATGACACTAGAATACCAGAACAAAACAAAACACACTTTTGAAGGTTCTGTTAGTTCAATTATTAGATACAAAGCACTATATAACAAAGAAGTAAAATAAAGCAAGCAAAAGTATGGTAATATTGCCAACTATTAGAGTGAAATAAGACACATTCTATATCATGCAGGTTTGCAAGGAAAAGAGAGAAAAGAAAGACCAAGCATCCATGCAATGCCAAATTCAAACCTTCAACATGTCAAAAATAAAACCATGTTCATTTATGCCAAATAAAAATTACTTCAAGATCTAAAGTGAAAAGCATCTTGAGTAATGAAGTTGTTCAGTTCTAATTTTCTCAAACTTAAGAATTAAATTATTCATTTGTTCCCTCAAATTGAAAACAAAAACACAAAAATATGAGTTGGGTCACACCAAAACAACACCAAAATTAGTCATTTAAAATCGAACGCCCGCCATTCACACCCCAAGAAATGCCATCATTATCAAATCCCATGAAAACCATTGACAGCCTTCGCCACACTAGAGTGGCGACAGACCTGTGAATAGAAGAACGCCTTCGGTGAAGACCCTTGATGGAATCGACGCGGCCCATTGGTGGCTGGTTACCCCTATGGAGCACAAGACACATCCTAATTGTTTTGACATTCAATAACAAAAAGTGAAATTTTGCTACAAAGGAGATGTTTAATGGATGGTAAATGAATTATTTCTTTGAAGCACAGAAATTTTTTACAGGAGATAGAGTAAATATACCAGATGTTTACATAGAGAGATAGATACAAAATGTATGAACTACCACAAAGCAAAGATCCACTAAACCGCAACCGGAGAGAGAGATAAAATATTTACACACAGACTGCCACCATTTATTAGCAGCACAAAAATTATAGAAAAGAAAGTAGAAATAATAGTAATATCAGGTGCAATTAGGTATAAAATTTGAATAATGTATCTTTGAAGCATACACATAAAGCAATCAGTGCATTTTTGAAGAAATTGTGAGGACAAAGTGACTCTATAAGGAAGACATAGAAATTGAAGCATAATGTGCTTTGTGACAGAGTACAGGTCAACATACACAACACTTTTTTCATATGAAATACAATATACCTACCTCAATGCATGGGGAGTATGGGCATGAGAGTGAGGGTCACTGCAAATCAATAAACAAGGAATTTTAAAGGGCTCCAAACCAAGAGGCAGCTGGTCATGTTAAGACTCAACCAGTGATTCTCCGGGAGAAATTAGTGGGGAAAATTAAACACGTTAACTTGTAAGTTTGGAAAAAAAATTAAAGGTCCAGACCAAACATTTTATTAGCTTGTGATAGGATGATTTGTTGTTTAAAGGAGAACCCTAATAAAGCAAGGAAATAGTATAAATGGTGATAAGAATAAATTGGAATGCAATTATTTTTGACACTCCAAAGCCACAGGTTTAGTCAAGATCAACTACTTTTGATCTCCATACACTTAAAATTTATGATTTGTTACAAATTTGAACTGTGAATTCACATACACTGTATCTGAACACACAACTGTTGAAACTCCAGATGAATGAAAAATAAACACAGGTAATTCTTACCTTGACATCTTTCTTGCTGGTCCACCAAGGGATGGTCTGCGATGTTGAGAGTCTTGGCGACCTTTACGGGACAATTTTCTTTGCAGCTCTTCATGCTTAGGAGGGTCAGCACCATCAATCATCGGTAAAGGAGCTAAGAAAGTGGTTACATTGTTTTAAAAAAAAATGAAAATGAAAAAAACCCAAAAAAACTTACATCTAAATTTCTATACCCAATAATGAAACAACATACCATGCCCATTTGCAACACTTTCTGATAAGGGTGAACCAGTACTTGAGGGAGCAGTGGGAGAGTCAATTTTTCCATCATTTAAATGCTGTGTGACAAACTGTGAAAATTGACCCTTCTTGTCAATAAGGTCTTGGTATGTTCCACACTCAGCAATTTTGCCATCATCCAAAACCACAACTAAGTCTGTGTCAGGTAGATAATGAATGCCATGGGTAACCAAGATCCGGGTCTGAACAAAAATGACAAAATTAAATTATGTTTGAAATTTAAGATAATATGGAAGAATCAGTTTAATAGAAGAGAAATTTTCACCTTGTTTCTAAGCAGTCCATTCGGTCCTATGACGTGTTCAAATATATGCTTTCCAACATGACTGTCGACAGCACTGAGAGGATCATCAAACAGATAAACATCAGCTGAGTTGTAAACTGCTCTAGCCAGGGCTATTCTCTGTTTCTGACCACCACTGACATTCACACCCTAAAAGTAATAATGAATCATGTATCTGTATAGCTATCAGTAGTGACACAAACTCCATTGTAAAACTATAGCATCAAAAATGCAATGGACATCCAATTACCTTTTCACCGATTTCTGTCAAATCACCACCAGGTAGCATTTCTAAATCAGCTTTCAAAGCACATGCTTCAACGACCATATTGTACTTTTCTTTCTCCATTGGTAGTCCAAACAAAATGTTATCTCTAAGGGTTGCATTCTGAATCCACGCTTGTTGCGCAACATAGCCAATAGTTCCCTGTAAAGAAAGATGTAAAAAAAAATAATAGATTTGCTGGTTAAGAGTGTATAGCATGCCATATTTCACAGGACAGATTTTGACAAGATTGTTTCACCTTTGTATTCACTCTTCCACAAAGTCTGTCCATTTCACCAAGTAAACAGGCAATCAAAGAACTTTTACCAGAGGCCACTGGACCCACAACAGCTACAAGACGGTTTGTCTCAACTCGAAGAGTAATGTTTGTCAGTGCTGGAGTTTCATCGGGTCCCCAACTGAAAGTTCCATTCTCAACTATAACAGGGTGCACTAAAAAAAAAAGGAAAAATTAGAACCAGTTATAAGAAATTTTGCAAAGTTCATACTACTGTAGCTTACCTTCACGGGGGTCATGAGTGACAGAATTGGGGTCAAGTTCATCTGCATTAAGGAATTTATTGATTCGGCTCACTGAAACACTGGCCTGTGAACAATTTAAGTTGGTGTAGTCATTAAGTCAGAGCAAAAAGAAATTCTATTTTACTATTTAAAGTATACTGTAAAATTGCATACCTGGATTGCATTGGAGATAAGAATTGGAAGCATGGTGAAGGGCTGCTTAATAATGTTGAAAAGTGTAACTGACACAAAAGCTTTCTTTGCATCCAAAATATTATTTTCGTCAATCATGACAAACATACCAAATGATGCAAGAGACACCAAAAATGGAGCGCATACCCAAATGAAGCAAGTTGATCCATTGAGATATGCATTAGCTTTTAGTACTCCAAGTTCCTTATTTCTGATGCCTTGAACAAGGTCACCAAAGAAACCTTCCCATGCATACAGCTTCAAAATTTTCATTCCTCCCAAAACCTAAATGAATATTTATTTTTGTTAGGGCAATATAGTACTGTATCATTTTTACTAGATGAGATTGGTACATTGTTCCCATAAATTCACACCTACCTCATTTGTTAACTTTACTCTCTCATCTTTCAATTCCATCTGAGAGATTTGCAGACTTTCAACACGGTTTGCTAGCCATGCATTGACTGGGATCATGAGGAGTAGAACAACAATTCCTGCACTTGCCGAAATTCCTAGGAGAACAGAGGGAGCAAATTTTATGGTTTAAATAAAGAGTCAGCTAATGTTTGAGATTAGAAATCAGAAGACATCACATACCCAAGGTTTGATACAGGAAGTACAAAGCAAGAACAATTTGTAAGGGGGCAGCCCAAACCAAATTAATATATGCCATGAGTTCAGTGAACCTTTGAGCGTCCACAGCCATCAAATTGACAATCTCTCCTAGCGTCAGTTCCTTTCTCAGAGAATTTGATACTCGTAGAGCCTGAAAATGCAGTATTGATGTGGTACTATGTCCTTGGATTCTCTGTGAAAACTAAAACAATTAATTAGTTATACTAACCTTTCGGTAAATAGCAGAAATGAGGGCAGTTCTGATGCGCATTCCGACAATGTACATCCTTTGGTTGTGTTGTGTCATACTCAAAGTTTGGAATGTTGCAGCCAACAACATGAGAACTGCATACATGTAGCCACGCCAAACAGGTTCATCACCCTCTTCCACAAATGTAATGAGCAAGCTAAAAATACATCACAGTTTTAGTTTTCAATTTTCTTTCAAAAAGAGTTTGAGGTATAAATTAATTAATTTTCACTCACATACCTCAAGATTTGAGGACTCACAAACACAATGGTTGTCTCAAAGAGCTTAGCAATACATCCAGCCAAAAATACTCCACCAAACGCCCGGCACATAGCATACATGATATTTGTTTGCTGACGTCCATCAGTACCACCCTTTTGACCCGCAGCACTGAAAAACAAAATGGCAAATGAGAAATAGAACCATTGTATAGTTACTGTACTAAGCGTTTGAGATGTATTAATAAATTTAAACAAATCTAGAAGTCATACAAAATTCATGGATGTAATAGCTTTTAAAACCAAACACTAAGAAATTTGAATTAAAAAAATTGAAACACACCTGTACAAATACTTTAACAAAAATACCTAAACAGCATTTAAGCATTATATATGAAACAGTAAAAAAGGCCTATTGATTTAGCAGTCTTTATTTAAGGCCAATCATGCAAAAATATCTCAAACAAAACTGTTATTATCACACTCTATACGCACACAGCAACAAGGAGAGGGGATCAAATACCATAAACAGATAATGGATAATTACAGCTATATCAAGCTCAAATTTAGAAGTGGACTTCACAAATCTTTTTACAATTGTAAATTAGATTGTATTCTGCACGAATCATTTTGATAATTGTACTTACTTGTGAAAGAGTGGCTCAAGCTCAACTTCACCTTTTGACCAGGAACTTGGTATGCTGGACTTGGCACTGGAATTATTACTTTTTGCACTCAATGAGGATTTATCCTTGGGAAGCGGTTTGATATTGTCTTTCCTGTAGCAATTTTATATACAAATAGGGGTGGAGACATGCTAAGGATACTTGGAGAATGGCATATACAAGGTTCCAAGGCTACCTCAAAAACAAAGTTAGGTAACACACTGTTTAATGTTGTTTTTCTTAAGCAATTGTTTTAAAAAAATAGGTAAGCTTTTGGTGAGTAAATGCAAGACACACAGCGTGCTGAACTAAATGCGCACAATATGTTTCTTTGAGACGTACCTTGGTTTCCCGCTTTTCAGCCAAAACTTATCAAAGGCAGGTACAACTTCTGTAGATGTATCTGCTTCATTGAGGCCCCAGATATCACCAAGAACTAGAGGCCGGCGGTAACCTTTGTAAACGAGTGGATCTAACCATGCAAACATAGCACGGCACAAAAATGAAGAAGCTCCCTCCGGACATGGTCTCTGCACAAACAATAACAACCTTAAAAATACAAGAATAAATCAAACAAAA